CTACCTTTGAGGTAGAGATGGACAGCCACAGTACTAACGCCAACATCCACAGCAATCTGCAACAGCAGCAACAGCAACAACAGCAACGTCGTAACAGACTAACTAAGAAACCTCCCTCCTCTATCCATAACCATCACCATCACAGTCACAGCTATTCTCTCACCGCTGATGGTCGCTTTGACGCCCAATCCCTCAAGAGCAAACGGAGCTCCACGAGCCTGAGGCGAGCTCCAAGTGCTCCCCACAGAACTCCCGCTATTACAACTGTTAGCGTTGCTAATAACGTTGCTAACATTGCTAACATTGGCATTAACAACGCGTCAAACTCCGCAGCATCGCCCCGTCTCCCACCACCTCCCACTACTACCGCTACCGCTACCGCCGCCGCCGCCACCACCACTACAGTAAATAACAATACCAGCAATAACACCACTTATTTCTCCTCACCTTTACTGTCTCCTGCTCAATTTTCACCCTCTGCCATTTCCTCACCTCACCATTTAGTTCCGTCTTTACAGTCGCCGTCGCCTTCTCTTAACGCATTTCCCCTCGCCGCTGACGGAGCCGCAATTGGGTCTGGAGCCGGCATTGGCACAGGCACAGGCGTAGAAATAGGCATCGGTATTAGGTATCCGACGTCAGGTCAACGCCTGTCTGACCCCTATTTTCTCCAACCTCTTTCTTCTCAGACTCCCGAGGAATTCATCGGCGCGCCCTTTGACGGCAATTCTATCCTTAGTCATTTCGACACTGCCAAGTCGCCCGCGTATCAGTTTTCTTCCCAAACTCGACCGCCACCGCCCCCGCTATCGAATTCAACTCCCGACCCGCGTGTAATGAGCCCTCCTCCTTTGCGACAGTCGGCTAGCTTCTCCGCCTTAGACGCCAACATGTCAGAGAAGTCCCATGGCGCACGTGTCAATGAGAACCCCGTTGTCCCCCCGAAACGATATTCCGATGAATCCAAAGATCTCAAGGGTCCCGGTGTCTTGAGAAAAAAGTCGGGCTTTTCCGGCCTCATGAGCACATTGGTGGGGTCGCCCAAGAAACCTGTCATATCGGCGCCAGAGAACCCCGTTCACGTCACCCATGTCGGCTACGATAGTTCCACTGGCCAATTCACGGTAAGTCTCGTGTGACTTCTTCATTTCCTTGAGCCCGGCTTCATGACGTTGCTGACTTTTTTATAGGGCCTGCCCAAAGAATGGCAACGCCTAATCAACGAGAGTGGCATTCCAGAGAATGCTCGAAGGGAAAATCCACAGATGATTGCGGATATCGTTACATTCTATAAGGAAACCACAGAGAAGCCGCACGAAGATCAGGTTCTGGAGAAGTTCCACGATGTGAGAGCTACTGAGCTGCGCACCCAATCTGGTGGAATGGCAACATCCCCCGGCATGTATGCGTCAAACTATGCGGGTATGTCACCTATGATCAGTCCACCAGCAAGTCCGAGATTTCCAATCGTGAATAATGAAGGCACCTTCGAGAATCCCCGCGCCCCCCCTCCGGTACCCATACCTGGGAAGAGCCCGGTGCTGCACTCCATCAAGGATCACCCCAATTTGCAGCCCAGCCGACCCGCGCCGAAACCCCCCGTCTCTCTGCAGACCCGAGCTACACAACAACTGCCCTATGCCACTACTAAAGATTCGGGCATCGGTATGGCACAGGCCAGCGAAGATGGTCACTCGACAGGAACCCATGTTTCGCCACCGAAGGACAGCGTCCCCATGCTCCCCGAAGAGTACCGATCGAGATCGAACTCGCGAGTCAACGGGTCTCAACCCCACACACCTGTCGGCCAGCCATCGCCATCCGTTCAGGCGGCTTATCAGCACCAGTTAATGCAGCAGCAGCAAGAGCAGGCCATGGCACAGGCCCAGGCTGCTATGAAAGGTCAGCTTAGTAGGTCTGCGAGTACTAAGCAGTCTCCCGCACAGCCATTGGCCTCGAGCTCACAGCACCAAATGGGTCGCGTACCTGAGGCTAACGGTGCTGGAAATGCGGCCTATGCAGCACGAGGGCCTCCGGCGCAGCAGTCCCGTCCGCGCAACCGGCCGCGGCAAAGTACCAGCATAGATGTAGCAGCAGCGCTGAAACGTATCTGCTCTGAAGGCGACCCTCGCGAGTTATACCGTGGCTTTACTAAGATTGGTCAAGGTGCATCCGGTGGTGTCTATACCGGCCACGAGAGGGGATCGAATCGACTAGTAGCCATTAAGCAGATGAATTTAGAGCAGCAGCCAAAGAAGGACTTGATCATCAATGAAATCTTGGTTATGAAAGAGAGCTCACACCCGAATATCGTTAACTTCATAGATAGCTACCTATGCGGTGGTGAGCTTTGGGTCATTATGGAGTATATGGAAGGAGGTAGCTTGACTGATGTTGTCACTTTTAATATAATGACGGAAGGGCAGATCGCTTCAGTCTGTAGGGAAACCTTGAAAGGCCTCCAGCATTTGCACTCGAAAGGAGTTATACATAGAGACATCAAGTCTGATAATATTTTGTTGTCGTTGGATGGTAATATTAAGCTCAGTAAGTCAAACACTCCTTATTCTAAAGTTAGTTGACTAAACCCTAATTTTCCCCCCTTTCGTAGCCGATTTCGGATTTTGCGCACAGATCAACGAGGCACATAATAAGCGGACTACGATGGTTGGTACGCCGTATTGGATGGCGCCGGAAGTGGTCACTAGAAAGGAGTACGGAAGGAAAGTCGACATCTGGTCTCTAGGTATCATGGCTATTGAGATGATAGAAGGAGAGCCGCCGTATCTTACCGAGTCGCCGCTACGCGCTCTGTGGTTAATCGCTACTAACGGCACACCTAAAATCAAAGACGAGGATAATTTATCTCCAGTATTCCGGGATTTCTTATATTTCGCCCTAAAGGTGGACCCGGAGAAAAGAGCGAGCGCACACGACTTGCTTCGGGTATGTCTTACAATTTCGAGCGTGAGGTTCCAGAAAGCTAATCTACTATAGCACGAATTTATGAAGACCTGTGTCGACCTGTCGTCTTTATCACCACTCGTTAGGGCTGCAAGGGAAGCCCGGCTAGAAGAAAAGGCTAATAAGGGTCAATAAATGTCTGTCGGTGATGTTGCAACGTTTTGAAGATGTTGGAATAACTCGAGGTCGGTTGCCCTCGAGGTTTGAATAAGTGTTACTATCCTACAATTCAAGGATACATCGAGCTAGCGACGGCCAAAACATCTTGCTACATCTCTACCTGGGTGACTATGCTACGGCTTGGACTTGTAGGGAGATTTAGAGAGATTAAAAAGAAATAAAAACAGCAACTGACGAAGGGGTCCGGAATCCTATGGAGGGCCTGATCCTATACTTGTACATAGCGAGACGATACCACCCTTGAGACGGCCTTCATTGGATACTAGAGCAGAACTAGACAAAACGGACGTCCTCGAAGCAGATGATTTGAAATACCCCAACGCCCCTAGTTCAAGACCCTCGTCACCTAAGAGTTCGCGACTCGCACCGGGCAGGTCGGATTATGGGACTTAGCTCCGAAGCAAAGCTGAGATTTAGATATTTGAGTCTATCGACGGAATTAATTGGATACTAGAAGGTTAAATTTTATAAATCAAGATCTGCTGCAGATGTTCATGTCTTGTATTGGGAAAATACACCAGTTAGTTAAAGTTTGGCTTATTAACATTGTCTTGTCTTTAACCCCGCATGTCAGGGGTTCAAAGATAGATAGTTGTCTATTTCAACGTAGAACCAAACATGTAACCTAGGGCACTAACTAGGTCAACTTATCGAACTATACGTGTCGCATTGTATAGAGTATACAAGCAGCTCTTCAGGAATTTAACATGATAAGAGTTAACGCTATTGTTTCAAGCTTACCGAGGTCGGCCAAGACATCAATTCGAGTCGCCTAGCTGAAAGAAATAGAGACAGTAATTGATTTCCCCTATAACAGGGGTTTTAGATGACTAAGAAGACAATTTTCGATAACAATTCTTTTTTAACCGCATCGGTAGGCACATATAGTCGAGTTACATCGGTAGTCTCAGGTACATGGAAGGTAGATGAAGTTTGGATTTCACAGATTGACTCGAGGTTGGTGTCCAAACCGAGAGCAAGCATGAGCAACTTGTCCAGATCAAATATGGATTTCATTATGTAGGAGCAAATAATGGTATCAAACTTAAGACAAGACCTCAAGTATATGAGAACTCCTCGACCATGACCAGAATGGTGTGAAGGAGCTTGCTTATGGATAGTGACTCCCAGTCTGTATGTACAATCCAAACATGTCTGTTTAAATAATATAATTTCGTTAGATAAAAAGGCCTCGGTGTCCAAACAAGGACACAAACGCAAAGTTCAAGATGTTGATCACAAAACGGAAGCAAACTCTGCTTCTATTCTATTTCACGTGTAGCGCTTGAAGCGGGTGCTAAAGAGATCAGTTCTGTTGTGCACCGTCCCATATTCCACAACCCCCTCTGTATAGTCGGTCCGGGGAGTCCACCCGAGGGTAGTCTATCTCTAAGAGCTATTCTGATGTTTTTTTCGTCGGAAAAAAAGGCAAATGGATCTTTTTTCCCTCTATGATAGTATTTGGTATCAGTCCCCCTTTCCCACTTTTTCTCCATGGCGTGTATAATAAAACTGACTCCAGATTTCCCCATGACGATTATGTAAAAAGTCAAGTCTATGCCGCGCATCATTCCATAAAACAATAAACCGTAAAAGAAAAGACCACCAGCATGCTGGGAATTATACCCATAGGTAACATCCCCCCTAGAGCCCGGCCGAAGCCTTTCCGACATATACATACGAGGGGTTTACGGCTAGGTACGTAGGTGCAAGTGGATGGTGTGCGATGTGATCGTTAGGACCGAACGACCAAGCTGGTTGGCGAAAGCGTGACTTGGCAAAGTCTGTCCAACACGCGTGCCTGAATGCAGTTGTTCAAGATGCATGGGAGGACTCATAATACCGCGACGCAACGTAACCCCCGCACCCAACGAGACAGGATTTGTCTACTCTCCAACTCCAAGTTTTCGGCCCATTGGGGAATAACAAGCGGGCTCCAGCTAAACAAGACCAGAGCCGCGATATCCGCGTATACGCCATGTCGTATAACTTGTCTCAACATACCAGGTTGAGACCATTTAGTTAATGATGGCTTATAGGACAGTGTAACCACCGTCGATAGCAACGTTGGCGCCCGTCATAAAGCTGCTGGCATCGCTAGCAAGGAAGACGCAAAGGCCGTTAAGCTCGTCAACGTTACCGAGGCGGGCCTGGGGTGTCAGAGAGCGCCAGATCTTCTTTTGGGCCTCAAGAGCCGGTACGCGGTTCAGCGCAGTGTCCATGTAACCGGGAGAGATGGAGTTGACACGGATGTTGTACTTGGCCCATTCGGCAGCTAAAGACTTGCCGAACTGGATGACACCAGCCTTGGATGCGTTGTAGCAAGACTGCTCCTGCGGGTAGTTGACGATGCTACCGCTCATACTAGCAACAAGAACAATAGATCCAGGCTTGCCAGCGGCCATCATCGCGCGCCCGACCGACTGGCTCATCAAGAACGAACCAGTTAGGTTGATATCGATTAGGCGTCGGAACATGGCCGGGTCGTAGGTCTCGGCCTTGATGTTGGAATCAGCGATACCGGCACTGTTGATTAGGACATCAGGGGCGCCGTAGGTCTCTACAACGGAGTCGACGGCAGCATTGATGGCGGCACCGTCGCGAACGTCGACCTTGAAGAAGGAAACGGGGAGTTGGGTCTTCTGGTGTAGCTCGGCAGCAGCTTCGTCACCCAGTTCTTGGTTCGCATCGAAGATAACAAGAGCCTTAGCACCAGCCTCAGCACAAGCGCGGGCCATGTGATTTCCAAGACCCCGAGCACCTCTGTAACGATGTCTCGTCAGCAAAATCTGGTTCAAAATAGCTTCATATAGCAAACTCGGCTTACCCAGTGATAATAACAACCTTGTCCATTATGCTCATCTTCTGCAGGGTGGGGGGCATTTGACGGTAGACAGTCTTGGATAATGGGATGACCTCGGTGTCCTCTGGAGGAGGGAACGGCTTCGGTGTGGCATCATCGCGGTTCACGGGAATACTGAAGTGGTCGCTGGTCGAACCGGCAGCGCCCGTCGAGTCTGGGGAGTAGACGGAAACTGGAACTTCGGTCTCGCGTACTACATCACTCCGCGATCGAACGGTTGACTGGCTGAAAGTTCGGTGAGCTGCGGGGAGAGATCTAGAGATATGGGCAGATGCACGAGCGGTGCTAAAGAGGGGGGCTGCAGCCCTGGTAAGACGGAGTGCTGAGCGACCAGACATTATTGCAACTATGTTTGCGTGGCTGTGTATATGGTGTGTATGTGCGTAAGTATATAGATGGGATATATCCAAGTTCAAGGTATGTTAGAAATTCTTGGAATAGGGATGTGGCGAGATGTGGGAAGTCTTTTAAGGTTGCTAGAAACTCTAGAGACAAGTGACAAAGCAGCAATTGACTTTTTTTTTTCCCTCGTAAGTTGGAGGGGGACCACAGGCAAACCGGTCAATTTATGGGAACCCCAGGGGGGTTTTTCAATGGCAGAAAAATCCGAAATCGGGGGAAGCTCCGCGAAAATAAAAAATAAAAAAGGACCAAAGTCCCAGTAAATTCTCAAGTAAGAATCCCAAGTTCCAGGGTTTTGCGACTTGTGTGTAAGATTCAAGGTCACAAGACAAGCTCTGTTAAATTGGAAGCTGGTTGGGTTTCGTGAACTAATCCCGTAGTCGTGGTCACGAGCTGAAGCAAATATTTGTTTTTATGTTCCGTGCTCGAACTGGAGCTCCTATGGGTTCGTCTGACCGTCGGTCTAAGCCAGGGGGGCTGGAGCTGTGTAGGTAGTAAAGTAGTAAGTAGTAATAGTACCTAGTAGCAAGGTCTAGGTATGAGTGGGGAGAAAATAGAGGATATCAATAAATGTCTCGTAGTTGTCTCGAGAACTCAGCAAGGGGGCACGGTAGAAAGGACTAAGACCGTAGCAGTATAGATCAAGAAGAGCTTCTGCACAATTAAGATCAATGGGAAAAGAAGAGAAACGGCTCGCAAGTCGGAGGCAATAAGCTGCAAGAAGAGTGCTCTATTTCTACTTGCTCGCTATCGCATATTCTTCCCTTCCCTCGTGAAAATGTGGACTTATTTTTCCTAACAGTTGTCAAGATTTACACATATTTTTCCTCTTTCTAGAATACATAGCAGGTTGGACGAAAGGGTCCCGTCGAGTCTGGGTCAGCAGCTAGACGATAGACCGCCTCGCCTCGTTCGCTCTGGACACCGTTAATCTGAGGTACCTAGCTTCGCTAACTCCGAGCAACGTAACCTGATAGGTTTGTACCTATGCGTATACGAAAACCAAGGTATATGAGCTACTACGTTTGTATTGTACTTCTTAAGGAATGTACATACACATAGGTATTACGCCATCCATCTCGGATGTACATGTAAGGTATACATGCATGTATTATATTTAACTGGATCAAATACATCGGAGGAGGACAAAAGAAAGAAGAAAAAAGACTTGCGTGGCGGATAGCTGTGCGGGAACAGATAGACTAGGTACCTTAGAACTGAAAATCTTTCTTGGTTGTCATCAAATGTCAAGGGTAGCTTTTTGTTGGCTTGTGGTCTCTGCCAGCTCTGGACCCTAGCGGACCTAGCAAACTGCCAAGAAGCCAAGCAGCCCCAAGAGGTACCAAGCAAGTGCCCAGTTCCCACCAAGACTGTTTATAAAACCGACCCGACGGGGCCTTAAGCAGAAATAATGGGGGCTGTGGGGCACTGTGGGGTCCGGCATGCAGCCCGGGTGGGACTCAGGTCTCCATCTAAGTCTCCATTATCTACGCAGTAGCGCGATGTTTTCTATTTAGCTCCTTTTCGTGGAGTCTTCCACCCTTCTAAAGAAATTCTAAACTAGCCTTATTCAATATCGTCAGATATCAATACTGTACCCAACATATACACTATATACAGTAACACGAATGATGGAGAAGCCGTACAGAGATTTTACATCCGTACCATGGGTAGGTTACCTTTCTAGTAGTATTTTGAAACCGCCAGCAACGCCTCTAAGCTCTGAGGGAACTCGGCGTGGGGGTACTGCGGCTATCTCGTAGTAATGCTTACAGCTTAAGATAGCTTAAGATACACATGCTTCCTAATCCCGTTAAAGCCTACATGTAATTACTATATTTGTTCATACTTGGATATTTAGCTAGGTACACATGTCAATTATATCAGTTAGCTAGGCTACTATGTACAGACTGCTTTCCTAGTGTAGGTAGTCTGGGAGTTTTAAACGCTGATAGCTAAACTGAACTTGGAAGGCTGATGCAGGATTTTCTTCCAGGCAAGCGGGTACGTGATTAAACCACGCAACTCGCCAACGAGAAGTGTTCTAATGTGATTAAAATTTTATTATGGTCGCGGGTGTACCTACCCAATAAGTGACGTGGCCTTGAAGCACCTTCGTTTGAAAACTACCTCCAGGGATTTCAACAAGTGTTGGTGTACAGAAGGTACTTTGACACATTTGTAGGTCTAGAGGTGTACGCAAATACGAAGTTCTTAATAGTAACCGAATACCTAATAAATAATATCCTAAATACATTTAATAAACCAAAGTAACACACACATATATAACTAGGTATATATATAGAGAACCACACCGCCGGACAGTTTACGATACTAAAATGTACTTAAAGTTAAACGACCGTACTATCTGGGGTATCAAAACCCATGCGGAGATTATGCGCCAAATACGTAGGTACACAGTTAGATTCGTGGGGTTAAAGTCACCCGCATCCATCAGCCTCTAATGTTGAAAGGGGGGCTTACAAGAACAAGAGAAAAAAGACATCGTGAGAATATCTATATTACCCTCTCGGGTTCTCGGTGGTAGTATTGAGATGAGACTAATCTCTCCTTTAAAAAATACACGTCCAGGTGACCAAATCCCCCACACATCCCAGGTCTACTAAGGCGCATTATTAAAAACAGTGCAGTGTACCTAAATGTTGAAAAAACCTTGCCTCTGTCCATCACGTTGTTGAGGCCACGAAACATCGCGACTTAATTATTTATAATTCAAAATTTCCTTATGAGAAACACTCCGCCATACTGCATAGTATTGTCTTAACAGCATCTTATAAATCAGTCCATAAGTACGTATATATGTATGGCGTATTCCGCACATGCGTGTTAGGCGCGCATACTTACATCTATGTAACTACTGGTTATATCCCTTGAGATGCCTACAGTATTAAACGGTATCATATTCATATAGTCGGTGAGCTTCCTGACTGTATTCTCACAACCAAAAAACTCCGATTTGCGGCTCTGTCCGTCACAACTGAACCATGCAGCCTCGCGGCCCCCCTTAGATTAGATCTACTACCTATACGACGCACAGGCAAGACGCACGAACATTTCTTTCGCCCATCTCGGGATGTGTTCATTACGTACATGTACATATCACGTTCGGTATGGCGCACCCTACTTATAAATATAGTGTAATCGTGCTAGACATGTAGCCTGTCGTGCTGCTGATAACCCATAAATGATCAGCACTGAAAAATCAGCAAGGTCTACCCGAATAGAAAAGGATTTACTCACTCTGCATCTTCCACCCAAGGTACGTAGACGAGTAAGATAAATGACGCCGGGTGATATGAATTATGGCTACGTACCGAACAAATTAATTTGGAACGCTCCGTTGTGCTACCTAGTACGCCATAACGCATATGTAGTATGTACATATATACAGGGTTTGTTCACCGTGGCATTAGGTATCGTGGGTCCTCGCTACGGTTAAGGGTCCTGGGACGACGCTGGAAAAGAAAGGGCTAGCAAAAGCTTCGGCCAGGGGTTAATCTTGTGGGGGAAGCTAGTCCATAAAATCAAGTTACGGAATATGTATCACAGTATATCTAACAGGTACATGCATGTATTTGACTACATAGGGGTCTAGCCAAGGATATTTACATATTTGAACCATTTGTAGGCGGTGTATGTATTGTGGTAATGGTAATGTAGTGTACGTACGTAGTCAACCGAAGGAGGTGCTGCCGAACCGTCTATACTACATAGTATATTGCCTACATACCGCACACATACATACTATGTAGGTGAACTGTACCAGTGTTGACCTTGCAGACGCGATCGTCCACGGATCACACGGAGAGCCGAACTGCCTATTACATATCCCGGCTGAGCTCGCAGAATTTGCCTGTGATCTTCTATCTAACAATGGACGTTACATACTTATCCAGCGGACTAGACTTAGGTCATGTTAGTTGGGTGTTTAAATACACGAAAAAGTGAAGGACATCGCGAGCAGAGAATGGCGGAAACGTAGGCAATCCAACACGTTTGACAAAGTGAGAGAGGAATTTATGGCATTCCTTTTCTCTCCTAACTCCCTACCCACCACAACCTTTTCTGTTACAATACTCACTAAGGCGGTACAAATTGCGCCGCAAGCCTACTGATCTCTCGGGTTCAGGGGTATATCTGCTAACTAGGCTAGCATGCAGCCTTTCGGTCTTAAGAATTTAAGATCGTTGAGGTATTATTCTTCAATATTGCCATGTCCTTAGTATGTACTTAGTATGTACCTACATAGCTAGACCAAGCTGAAATATATTTCAATGCTAGGAGGATCCCAGTTGATGAGATGCCAGATCCAAGCTTTATATTCTTAGGTAGACGACTGGATTAGTGTAGTAGCGTATGTAGATTAGAAACACCACGTTAGCTCGTTCACCATCGTCTCCCGCCGCCCGTCCGCCCCGTACTAAACGCAAGCGGGCTGTCCTTGCATAGGCGAGCCTCAGCAACACGCCGCCCGGTCCCGCCGCGTCCCATCATCAGGGCAAGATCAGCGCATATTAAAAGCACCGTCCCGCTCCCGCTCCAAGCAGCCGCGGGCTGTCATATTAAACCCCCCGAATTAGCTCCGCCTCGGATTCCATACTGACGCAATGTGTCCATCGGAGAGTCACCGGTATCAACTGATGCAGCATATACTCGTACGTGAATACTGAGCCGCTCAGCTTGGTATTCTAGTATAGTATAAGCGACCTGATAATAGCATGTCCGCTGTCACCTAGCGACCGTAACTCTCGGTTTGAAGTCGATTCATACGGCCTCCGTTATATCCGTAGTCGTGCTATTGAGTAGGTACTTACCACAAGATTCCTACTCAAAGCTTTTAGCTGATCTGCTCGTCCCGAGGTACTAATTTGAATTGAGTAAAGATAAAATGCGGTAAGCAATACGAAGACATCTCTTATTGTGCTCATTAGGCATACATACAGACCGGTGAACAACTTCCGTGTGGCGTATGTACTATCTTGCATTTATCTATTCTTCATCCCAAATAAGAGACAATGACCGGTTCCCTATCTTTTCCACTTAAGTAACAATCCAGATTATACAAGCCTCAACAGGGCGGATAACTATGAGACGTCTACTCCGGCCCCTTCTCAACAGCTCGACTTCAACTTGAGGCCTGAGATTGAAGCTCGCGACTCTCAGGACCCCAGTACCCTCCCACCAGGCGTCTGAGACATGGCGGTGAGTTACTTTGTGGGAAATACACACTCTACACCCTCCCTTATCCCTACGATATTACCCCCCAAAACTCATTCCCCGGCACCATGCACCCTGCCTAAGCCACTCGATGCAATTCTTCGTCAGGTTTCATATTCATGACTCTAGCAGCAAGATAAGCAGATTTAACCACTTGATTTGCCCATTCCAAGTACCCGGGACACGTTATACATGTAGGAAGGTTAGATGCATCTTATGTGAGCTCCCGCGAAACAATCTGTATATACCCCTAGATCTGTAGATCCGACGCTCGCAAACTTCACCACGTGCGTCATTTGACATGTCATTAACTTCCTCGTTTGCCAATGAGACAGGCTCCCCCACAAGGATTCTTTTCAAATAACCCATATCATATAACCATTTCGACGGTCGGGTGAGGCGCTTAGGTCTCTTTCATAATATCGAAGCAGAATGGACTTACCACCCCATATAGCATAGGGGCATAGACATCTCCTAACTACCTAAGTAACTTAACTATCGGACCCCTACGTAATTTAGGACCAAGTACGATATCTTGTTTCTCTATTCCGATTGGACACGGGTTTGCCGCCATTAGCCAGGCATTGATCTTATTCGACAGCGAACGGCGGCTGAAAAGGTCAAATCTAGATACGACCCCCTGCTTGGATATTCGTTATATTAAATGTGTACTCGTTACGCCTAGAGTATGATGCTGATTCACCGCTATTAATTTCTTAGAAATTTGCGATTTTAGCTTATTTTAGGAGTAGAGTGCGGCATACTCTGACTTCGGAAGGACTTCACAGGGACGAAATAAATAATAGGTAAGTTATATAGCAAGCATTTTAATATCGGTCACGACTGTAAGGTAGACCTAGGTAGCTGTTCTTTATATGCTTTCCACATAAGATGGTCTTGATAATTTATTTTTGCTGTGTAGTTGTCGCTCTTTCTCTTCTACTGCTTCACGTAGATGTCCTCTCGTTTAATACGTATACTTATATGCTTATGTAGTTCTATTAATCACTATGATCGCGATACGCATTTATCTCCTTGTTCTCTCATCTTTCTTCTACCTTATTTTATTTGTGTCGGCTTCTCCTACCTTGGAGAATAATATGATCGGAGCACGAAGCCCACTACCTATTCCCATATGGGTCGTATAGAGCAGCTAGATACGACAGCGTCATGGATATGTAAGTCGGAGCTGATCGACACTACTTGAACTGAATGAGGGGAAAGGGCAGAAAGTCCTAATGGTGCAAGTCGTAGATATACGTTCAAAAATATCCGATATGCGGCGTCACCAGTTAGTGATCTGCGCTGCGCCAAGCTGGTGCCTCCGTTAAACCAATCCAGCATCCAAGACGGGAGCATCGGCCACTCATGTGTATAAGAGTCTCCAAACGGACTCAGCCTACTCGATACTGGCAACTAGTCTCCAGCCAGCGGGACGATCAACCAGTTGTGAGTGCTCCCCATAGTATATACTTAAGAATGCTAGAAAATTTCCTAATTTTACGAAAGTCTTAGGGGTATCCCACTTCCCGTATTCTCGGGCGGTAGCGAAGACTGCTTGTTTTTAGACATTTGGTACGTATATCCTATACGTGATATTTTACTAATGGGATGCTAATATGTTTCATAGTACATTTAAATAGAAACATCAGAACTGAAGCTCCTAGCTAGTATACTTACTAGTATAATAGATATGCCTGGAAAGACCTGGAAAGCACCCCCCGAGAAATTACCTGTTGTGATCTTCGTATATGGTGGCGCGTATGTATTTGGTAGTAAAGACTCGCTGCAACCAGAGCTGCCATTCTACGATGGGGCTGGTATGATATCACCACCCGGCAATAGTATGATCTTTGTGGCAATGAATTATCGGGTAGGAGCTTTTGGCTTCCTCGCTGGAACTACTATGGAGAACGAAGGTACACCAAATGCTGGGCTCTGGGATCAGATAAGTGCATATATGGGAACCCTGGAGCGTCGTTGATTCTAACATGTTGTCGTGGGATAGAAAGCAACCTCCCAATGGGTTAGGGATTGCATTTTCTTAGTAGGCGGAGACCCGACACGAGTGACAGCTATGGGACAATCCGCTGGAGGCGGAAGTATCATACATTACGACAGCTTCCTGTACTGTAATTAAGCACTGGCAATTTCTGGAATATAGAGTCGCCCATTTTGTCGCCTACTACTGCCGAGTCGAACGTATTTATCAATGACCTTGTACAAACGGATAACGGGTTTACATCGTTTGTCGACGCTATATTCCCAAACTACACTCAGGCTGCCGGATTCACGGATAAGATTGGTGCTTTCTACGCGGTCTCTGGACAATCAAAATATAGGTCGCAGACGGACCCAGTACAGGCCCTCCTCCGCGATAGCAGCTTTACGTGTAATATCCGGCACCTTACCGACGATTTTGGCGGCTCCAAGGTCTGGAATATGCAGTATGGGGTATCGCTTGGGTGGCACGGGACGGACTCTTTCCCCATCTTCAGCGCTAAGCTCGGAGGCAAAAGCTGGCTTGAGAATCTAGCGGCGTTGATGACACCGGGTATCGGATCGCTCGTTCCCGACATCAGCGTAGCGTTGCAAAGCTACCTTACGAGCTATATCCTTACTGGTGATCCTAGCCCCAATCGCAAGGTCTTCAACCTGTCGCCGACGGTACGATGGAACCATCCAAATAGTCAGGCGGAGCAGATCTCGGGCGTGGTTAGCCTCGGCGATTGGGGGTTCAGCACGGTACGAGATACTCAAGATGAGAAGACGGTGTGTGATTTCTAGGGGGATATATGTAGCCGCAGCCGTGACTAGCTTAGGGGGATATTTGCCACCTGGTGCAGTGGTACAGCAAAGTTTGGTTGATGTGAGGGATCCGAATATGAAGTATAATAGATAGTGGAAATCAATATGAATATGTAATTGAAGTTTTTGAATAAGTGAATAAGTGAAGAAGTGAAAAAGTCAACTGTTCCTTATACGTGATGGGTATATGCTGGGTAATGATTGGCTGGTGAGTATCGTGTGGTGTTTGATTTACTTGGATAAAGTACAGGCATAAATCATTGGAAATTACTTGCATAGTACCCCTACCCATCAATTACTACCTAATTATGTGCTTGTGCTATATTTGGCTGTGGGGTTATGGGGAACTTGGTTGCACAGGTACATAGGTATGTACCTGTGCACAAGTTCGTTAGGTAGGTATTAGAGTTCGCGCGGACATTTTCTCAATTGTGTGCATCTCACTGAATACAGATTTCGTCTTCTCTAATCGATGTCTATTGGGTGCAGAATAAAAAGAGCCCCGGATCGCCACATCGCGTCTCAGAATAACTAGTTCTAACAGAAACGACATTTACCTCATTTGTCACAAGTCGTTTCGGTGCCTCGCCGGGCTGCTTAGGCTTGGCTCACTTGCTTTAGGGATTAGTTGCATCACATTGCACTGCATTGCACTGCATTGCACTACATTCAATGTTCCATCGTATCCCCAGGGTTAACAGGCATCTTCTTTGGTGATGGAAGCTTCTTTATAAAAATAGGCATCTGCCGAGTGCATTGGAAAGTAGACGTGTTGTTTCCAGAAGTCCGGAAATAATCCGTTAAACTATCCACCAAACTCTGTCGACTTCATCCTTTCCTCTTTAGTTACATAGGTACCTACTCGAGAATAAATTGACATTGTACATAGTGGGCTGCTCCTGCGACCAGGTTTATCGTTAACGAGATTCCTAACTGCCTCGTTTCTTTCATCAGATGGCCCAAATGGCTCGGATTGGACTAGGTCCTGCCCTAAAATAAAAGAACCCTGGCTAATTCCTATGTTGAGTGTAACGGTTCGGGTTTCAAATCTAACAACCCTTGACAAGGGGCTGTGATCCATCGTTGTCTTGGGGCGTTCAGCCTTGCCCTTTCACCCAATTACTTGTCTTGCCTTTCGTGAACTGGTGGAACTAATCGAAGAATCTCGAACATAACCCTGCAAGGTCCATGTTTGAGGATCAGAGATACTAGTCTACTATTGCGGAAGGCCAGGATTGTAGATATTGGTGCTGAAGATTGGGTCGAGAACAACGCTCATTCACACTCGCCTACTGCCGCGTGCTAGCCACGCCCTTTACTTTCTGACTCCAGTCCTATTCACGTTCTGTTTCTTACTCTCATTTTCGTGTCTTCGCGCCGACTATCACCAGTGTTGACCCTTAGGGCGTTGTAGTATACTCGTCCGCGTCAACTATCAATGCCAATATGCATCATTCGCTTCGTGATTAATATTTTATAATATCTTTTTTTTGAAATACCCATTGAGTGGGTTATTCGTACATTCTTTTTAAGCGAATACAGCTACACGCCGCCAAAGTCATGGCGACACCAGGAACAACACAGGCCTTACTGGCCGCCTTCTTTTTCGGTATATTGTTTAACGCGGCGTCTGCGGGGTTGGTTTTGTATGCTGTAGGTCATGGTTCAGCAATCTTTCGGGACGGCCTGAGGCTGGTCCTCATACTGTTTCTGACTTCTTCTGCCGCGTGGGCTTTGGTCGAGTTTTTGGCTACCATCATCGAGCCCACTGCTGCGTCTATGTGCCAGGTCGCGGTGGTCTTCTCGTCTATTTTCGATCAGATGGCAAGGGTTTTTGTCGAACAGTACTTGGTATGGGCAGCGCGAACGGAGAAGAAATCAATACCGAATATAGTATCCCAATTTCTCATTCTTGTTCGGTTCGGCGTCGGCATGGCATTTATCGGATTAACACAGAGCGATTTCAACCCTACATGTGTGCCTATTTCCAGCGTCCCGCCTATTGCCATTACCACCATCGTATTGGATGCTATTATCCTTGCTCTCATCCCTGTTCAAGTCTTATCGAGTGCCTCGACGAGCGGTGTTTCTAGTAACAGACAGGCTCCCCTCGGGAAAAGAAGTGTTATTTTGGTCACAGTTGGGTTGGCAATATGGATAGGGGTAAGTTCTGATATATTGTTATATCTGTTCAAATACTAATTGTCTATAGACGAGCGTAGTCCTTCTCCTTGGCCAGAGGGCAACAGATTTGGTACTCAGGACGACGCTACCTGCCGTTGGCCTCGCAATTTTAGTTGGTATGTATTATAATGCATTTTTCTTTCGTCGTATCGTTAACAGTTGGAAGCATTAGTTACTGTGCTCTCAGGATCACTTGTTACGCCTCGAGGCCCACCCCTGCGACGACCAGATTCTCCAACTACTCGGGATATTGGTAGAGATAGGGATTTATCGTCTTCAGATTCCGCAGATTATCCCCCGTCCCGATATGAGGATGTCAAAGCCGCAAATGCAACAACTATAACAGCCTACGTCTCACGAAATGATGCTGTTGGAACTGGTACGTTTGGTAACGCGAAGAAAAACACTAAGGGGAAGGCATGGAATAAGACCACGGCGGGCAAACTCGTAATCTCGAAACCGGTTCTTATCTCACAGGAAGGCATGGAAAATCCTCTTGACAGAATACTAACAGTCGATCTTGCTACAGCTGCTAGAGAGGAAAAAGAGAGGCGTGTCAAGTTACTACAACGCGAGTCAACTCTCATTGCGCAGCGGCCTGCCCCTCAGCCGCCTACTGCTCCGGGACGAGATGTGTCGCTTGCTAGGGAGCTAAGTTTGAAACGTAAAGAGGTTGGGTCATCGTCTTTAGCACAGCTGGAGAGAACCATCTCGGCTAAGACTACTAAGACATCGGCAGGGCTATCTGTCGAAGCAAATGCATCTTCTACATCTTCAGAATTATCCCCTGGGACTGAACAGGTAAGGCGGAGATCCCCGAGGCATCTCCCGGCACCACCAATACCAGCAACGTTCCAACCGATTCGACCCGGTGAGCCGGTTCGTATACCCATTCCAAGACCCCGAGACCCATCGCCATCGCCAAAGGAACCAGAGCCAGTAAAGACACCGCTACAGCGACGTGCCACAACAGGACTTCCGTCGCATCCCAGGGCCCAAGCAATGAAACAAATCGCGAAGGATGCTAGAAACAGCCGGCACGAAACTGTAATGTTTATCAATAACATCGTCTATGACGATCCGAATGCCGTCAGCAATATTGTCCAGGGGGCTTCAAAAACACCAATAACTTCCTTAGACTCCGATGATTCGGTTGTCAATCGTCCGCGCCCGATTCCTAGAAAAGGAGACAACGACCGTCAAGTTTTCCCTGCCGAAGTCTCACCAGCTCAGGCCCATAAACGGTCGAAATCAAGTGGCTCAATTATCGCTAGAAGGTCTATGCTGCGGTCTGTGCCCGGCAGCCCTTCCCAGCTGCCGCCCTTACCGCCGCCGCCCAAAAGCGCCGGCAATTTATCTCACCTTCGGCCTATTCACACGAAGAGTATGTCACTCGAAGAGAAAATGGATTTGCTATATCCTACACCGCTTAGCGCTCCTTCGGCATCAACTAGAAATAAGCAGAAATCTATAGTGCCTAAGATGCCTTCTTTACCGACATACACGATAAGCATACAGCGACCCAATGTCGAGGATGTTCCCGACAGCGGAGTTCATGATCCTATGCGGCTATCCAAGGCAACTGACAGAAGTTCAACTCGAACCATTAGTATTCTCGGAATCGACGACATTCCACAGCAGGGCGTACAGAAGGCCGACAGCTCTCATAATGCAATTGAAGAGCTGGGTCAGTCCTGGCTGCCGGGAATTTCAGCCGGAAAGGAAAGGCAATCGCATCCGTCTCATGATAAGATGAATCGAAAATCGCCGCCTTCCATACCAACGGAGGTTCAATTCAACGGGTCATCCTCGAAGGATGAGAGCGAGGGGCGAGAGGGATATGCCAGTACGATTTGGGGCTCAGTACACTCTCCTGTTGCTGCTGTTAATATCCAGATATCGCGGCAAAATGCTCATTCGACGTATATTCAAAAAGATACTCACGGCTCCGGAAAACAGGAGCATGACCATCCTGCCACCGTCGTTAGTGGAGATAGGGTTAGGAACTTCGTC